CTCCCTGCCGCCTGCACTCAGAGCCTCAGGCCGGCCTCCAGCCCCTTCTTCTTCCTGGGGTCCGGCCGTGCTGACTCCACGGTGCCCAAGCCCCCAGGGCAGGCCGGACGGGAGCGGGGTGATGTATTTAGAATTTCACCTAGAACAGCACGTGGGGGTTTTGTTTCTGGGAATGGTGGGTGGGCCGTTGGCACTGATATGCCACTGAGACAACCCAAAGGTTGTGATACTTTAAAGTATCAGAGCTCTCCTGAGAAGAAGGGTTCCCCAGGAGGGCAGGGGCCCGAGGGGAGGAGGGGAGGAGGCTGTGCTGGCCACCTGCGCGCACGCGAGCCTGGCAGACAGTGACCCGGGGCCCTGAGTGCTGCCCCTCTGGAGGGTGCCCAGGAGTGGATGCCCCAACAAGGCATTGCAGCCCTTCCACCTGGCGTAGCTGTCCTGGCAGGGGCGCCAGGCAGAGTAAACGCAGTTCTCATCCTCCACGTGCTGTACAGGCCCCCGGGGCACCACGGACAGGTGGAAGACAGGGCAGCGAGGGCTGCACAGACTTCAGACTCAGCAGCTGTCAGAGACCCTGGTTTGCTGTGTTTAAGGACTAAAGAACAGCTTGAAAGTTTCTGCAGAAAGTAGACCACGTGATTCAGTTTCAAAAGAGCCAAGTAAAACTTCAAGAAATGGCCCTAACAGGTTTGGCTCAGTGGATAGAGCGTCGGCCTGCAGACTCAAGGGTCCCAGGTTCGATTCTGGTCAAGGGCATGTACCTTGGTTTCGGGCACATACCCAGTAGGGAGTGTGCAGGAGGCAGCTGATTGATGTTTCTCTCTCATCGATGTTTCTAACCCTCTATCCCTCTTCCTTCCTCTATGTAAAAAACCAATAAAATATATATTTATATTTTTTAAAAAAACTTCAAGAAATGAAAAAACAAATGACACGAAAAACTCAAATGTTTGCTTATGACACATTCGAGCACTTGTGCATCAGACAGCTACAGTGAGAACTAGTGAGCCGGGAGGTGGGCTGCGGAGCCTCAGGAGCCTCTGGGAGCAGCGCAGGGATGCAAAGGTCCGGGAGAGGGCAGGCGGGAGCAGACGCGGGTAGTTGAGCAGGAGCAGCACCAGTTCATACCCGAAGCCAGTGGTTCTCAACCTTCCTAATGCCGTGACCCTTTAATACAGGTCCTCATGTTGTGACCCAACCATAAAATTATTTTCGTTGCTACTTCATAACTGTAATTATGCTACTGTTATGAATCGTAATGTAAATATCGGATATGCAGGATGTATTTTCATGGTTACAAATTGAACATAAAGCATAGTGATTAATCACAAAAACAATATGTAATTATATGTGTGTTTTCCGATGGTCTTAGGCGACCCCTGTGAAAGGGTCGCGACCCACAGGTTGAGAACCGCTGCCCTAAGCAGTAAACGAAGCAGTGGAACCCTGAGACAAACCTTAAAAGCAGCGAGAGAGATGCCCCTTGTAAAGAGCAGCAGATACCCTGACAGCAGCTGGCCGCCCCAGAGAGTGGCGCCTGTGGGAAGGGAGTGCCCGGCCTCGCCTGCGCTGGCCGCACCCCTGCCACACTTCGCGGTGGGCGGGCTGTGCGGACGGCCTAGGCTAGGACATCGCAGGGCAGCTGTGTTCGTTTGAACAAAACTGACTTTAAGGAAGAGAGTTTGTAATGACAAAAGGTCTGGTTAAGAAGCTGTAACGTTAAATTATACGTGCGTGGCAGCGTAGCTGCAGAATACCTAAGCCAGCAGCCAACAGAGGTGCGGTCCACGGGGGAGTGAGGGCAGCACCTGCACCAGCGCACCGCGGGGAGGGGCGCCA